ACCAGCAAATGCAAGGATCTGAGTTCAATTCCCGGTTCCACCAAAAAAAAAAAAAAAAGAAAAAAAGACACAAAAGCCATATTGAACAGGTTTCCCTGGGATCTGAGGGCCAAGGTCTGTTTTTTATATAATTTTGCATGAATCTTAGGAACAGATTGGGAAATGAAAAGGGAGTTAATAAGTGTCATTACCTCAGGGGACTGAGGGTCAACATTGATATATTTGGTTAAGGCATCCATAAGAGAGAAAGAAATTCAGTGGAGTTTTCATGGGTGTGTGTGTGCTGGGTTAGTTCGTGGATTTTTCTGGTCATTGGTGGGCTTGTGTGAAATTTTTCTAAGTCCTGCAATTAGGTGGTCAGCCATCGTGGCCATGTGGGTTAAGCCATCGTGGCCATGTGGGTTAAGCCCTGATAGTCCTTTTACGCATCAGCATCTGGAACCACAACTGTGCCTGCAGGGTGGTTAGGATCAGTGTGGTTCTCTGATCCTCTTTCGCCTGAGCAGTCTGTCAGAGCTGCATCTTTTGCTGGGAGGACAAGGTAGAGGTGAAGATAATGTATAGGTCTTTAAAATGGAGATAGGAATTAATAGCAAATTAGAGCTCCTTTATAGTTATGGGGATCATCAGAAAAGGAGCCTAACTGATGAGAAATCTGGGATATATCAGATAGTGTCAAAGGGTTATGGATGTGAAACCAGCCCCTCAGGACCAGCCCATTCCCAGAGGGGGAAAAGAGCTTGGGGCTGAGAAAGCAGTAGCTGAGTACAACAGGGTGGAGAAAGACTAGCTGCAAGATGGTGGTGGTGAGCAAGGTGAGACTGAGTATGGTGTGCAGGAGGAGGAGGAAAAGGTGATGGAGATAGCAGAGAAGGCAGTGAAAGGTGAGGGGTGGATGCACAGAGGACAGTGCAGGGGATCTGGCTGAGGAGATTGAGGAGGCTAGGCTTGAGAGTATGGTGGAGGAGCAAAAGCAGGCGGAACATTGTTGAGAGGTTCTGGACAGGAGGATCAATTGAGGAGGTGTTTGGCAGGTGATGTGGCGCCTGAAGGACTTGAGAACAGGATTTGAGGGACAGGACTTGAGAACAATAAAGGATTGTACATAGGGGATCTCTGCCTATTTGCCATTGCAGTAGCAGTAGTTGTCCAGGTTGGGGAGAATATTGTAATTGAAAGTAACTCTGGCCAGTGGCCGACATTATCAAGTTTATATTGGGGCCAAGCTCTCTGGCAGTAAAAGATTAGTCATTTAGTCTTTATGATCTCCTGAAGACTAAAAGCATTTTAGATCTGTAAGAGGCACCCAAATAGTGTGCTTTGGGAGTTGGGAAGAAATATGCCACATAGTGGTTGAATTAAAGGTGAGCCAAAGGCCAAAACCAGTGCACAACCACAAAGAGAGCTGTAACTCTTTTTGGGATGTGACAGAGTAAGAAATGTCTGTAAGTCAGTGGATAATCACGCAGAGGACAGAGGGATGTCCTGTTGTGGGTGTGAGAAAATGAGAGAATGCCCTAGGATGAGGAGTCCTGATGTGGGTTGCAATTTAATGAGAGAACGAGAGAATGAGGCAGGAACTCCTGGAAGGAAAGGTGGCTGAGGTGAATTGGTGGTGTTGGATACAGGCTGGCAAAGGCAGAGGCAGAAATAGGGGGGAGCTTGTTGCTGGGTGAAGCTCCAACCAGGGGGAGCCCCAGGAGCTAAGTGCCCCAATGATCCAAGCAATGGCACCAAAATTGTAACGTTCCTTTTTCTGGTGCGAAAGACAAGTGGGAGGAAGTAAAGAAAACCTTTGTTGCTGGGCATGGGAGGGCTCCCAAAGAGAAGCAGGGAACCTTAAGGGGGCTGGCAAACGATTTATCAGGCTGGGCTGGGGGTGGAGCTTGCACGGAAGGTACAATGTCATAACAGGTGCTGATTGGGGAAGGCGTGGTGTGTATGTGAAAATCAAGAGAGTGTGTGCAGTTAACCTGGGAGGAGATGGAAGTCAGTCTAGGAGCCGCTTGTGTTTTGGGATCTCCACGCTGTGCCGACTCCCTGCCATGATGACCCAGTGGACCCCCGGCATGGGCGCAGACCTGTCACTTCATAAATAACTTTACATGAATGATTCTAATTTCCTTCTTTTTTTCTATAATCAGAAATTCATTATACTACCAAATGCAAACTCAATGCAGTGACTGTCAGAAAATGCACATTCATCGTTACCTAATACCAACATAACCAGTAGTTTATTACAAAATCCTAATGATAGTTTTCAGAGGCAACAGCAATGGTGGCAGTGTAGCAGAGAAACAGAAATGGGGGAGGGAAAGCCTTTATTAACTCTGAACACAGGGAGAGGACAGAGGGCAGGGAGGTTGGCAGATCCTCTGACCTGAGACAAGGAGCCTGAGGCTCTATGGACTTTTGCCAAGGGCGGAGATTGAGGGCAGGTTTAGTGACGTGTAAGGAGCTAATTGGAAGTTCCCTTGGGGTGGGAAAGGTCAAAAGAAGTTGAACCCAGGGCTGGAGTGGGGAAGGAGGAAGTGGTCATTGGAAAGATAAGCTGTTGTTTTAAGGGCTTCAGCCATATTAGACAACCACCATAATAATTCATTCCTTACTAGGGTTATAGCCTATCACCTAATGGGCAGTGTTATAATGAAGTCTTAGATTACCAACACCCAGCATCTTTTTATAAGTATGAAAGACTGAGGAGATTGGTGCTGTGAAGCACATCAGTGAAGAATAATAAAAGAGATGAGGAAGATAGATATCTAGATCTGAATATGACTTTATTTCCCATTTTATTAGTGTACATTTGCAATATGTATTAAATAAAATCTTCCAGGTTTATATATATCAGAAAAATTGCCTCTTCCTTTGATATGCTGGCCAAAGTCCAAGGTTGAAAGGAGCAGGTTATGAATTGAGTTTTGGCTCTGCTACTGATGAAATTGTGGAACCTTAGGCAAATCGGTTAATATGTTTAAATTTCCTCATTCGTAAATACCTTACAGCATTGGTTTTGTTTCTTTGGGACAGGGTAATGTTATGGGTCACTCAGAATAGGAACCAGATCAGCCAGACTGGAATTTGGAAAGCAGCTCCGGCCCCCCCCACCCCCTCTCTGTTTCACGCAGGTGGCAACCCAGGAAGCAGGGAGGTGTTTTAAAACCTGGAACCACATTGAGTTTGATAAACAAATTCATTGTCTGACCACATTCAGTTTGGTAAACAATTTCATTGTCTGACACAAAACAATGCTTTTAGAGTGATTGGAACCACTACTCAAACTACATTTCTTGGGGCTTTTGTTTTAGTTTCTGGTTAATTTGCACCTGAGTACCTGCAGGCAGTCTTGCATAGCCTGGAGGTTACAAGAAGTTAAAGCCCATTTAATTTCTTTTTGAAGTCATCTCTGTAATCTACCTTTGTTAACCGGAATTGGTGAGAGTTACAGGAATTTTATCTTAGCAAACAGCAAGAAACGGGCCACTAGTTACTAAACAACTTAGAACAGTGGTGAGTATACATTTACAACAGAAAGCACAAGATTTATATTTATAATCTAAAACATGAGTTGACCCATTAAAGGTTTCTTTTTTTTTTTTTTTTTTGCAGAACCGGGGGACTGAACTCAGGCCCTTGCGCTTGCCAGGGAAGCGATTATTCCCCTGAGCCATCTCCGCAGGCTTCCCCCCCCCTTTTTTTTTTGGTAACTGGGTACCCAACTCAGAACCTTGCGCTTGCCAGGCAGGTATTTAGGCCATTGTGCTATGTCACAGGCCTTGGGACAGGGTTTCATTATGCAGTTCAACTTGGCCTTAACTCATTCTGTAGCCCAGGTTGACCTGGAAGTCACAGAGATCTTCCTGCCTCAGATTGCTCAGTGCCGAGACTGCAGGCGCGCGCCACCAAAACCGGCTCCTTCCAGTGTTTGGAAAAAGGTTTTCAAATAGCAATGCATGACAGTCTATTGTCTGAAAGGCCCTTGTCTCATTCACACCAACAGCTTCAAGGAAGCGTGACGGGAAGAAGGGAGATCAAATTCTCCCACTCTGGCCCAGCGACACAAAGCCTTCTCCTTAGACTGGAGAGCTTCCTCAGCAAGAGGCGGGGGCGAGGTGCCGCATCGCGGAGTACCCAACAGCACGCGAGACCCAGCGAGGAGGTGGGATTTCCGCAAGCGGAACCAGAGCAGCCTCGCCGGCGCCGGAAGAGTCGGGGAGGTGGACTACATTTCCCAGAAGCGCGCGGGGCGATGCCGCGGACCGTACTGGACAGGTCTGGTCCCGCAGTACCAAGGTAAATGTCGGCGCCTCGTGCGAAGGGAAGAGCGGTTCGTAGTCTGTGGCTAGATTTGCACTTCAGCCCTCCTGACTCATTCTAAACTGAAAAAAACGACGCTCCGAGGGCGTCTCAGAGTTCTTGGCCTGGGGGCCTCACCCCACCACCGCGCCCTTCTACCAGCCAGGACCGGGCGCTTACCAAACGCCTGGGGTCGCGGGGTTTGTGCCAGAAGGGAAGGCCCGGGCGACCTTCTGCAGGCCCTGGGCCGCCGCTCCCTCCTTGCCCCGCGCATCGTAGGGGCCGGTGGCAGGCTGTGCCCGCGCCCCGAGCTCAGAGCGGGGTGGTGGAGGGCGGGCGCGGGCCGGCTCCCTCTCTGGGTGCAGGCGCTCCGGAGCGCCCCCTGCAGTACCCCGGCCCGCCTTCCTGCGAGTGGTGAAGCCAGCCGCTCCCAGCCCTGGAAGGGCAGAGCCGAATTGGCCCCACGCCTGTCAGGATCTGAAGCCCTTTGCGGAAAAGCGCGGCCTTTTTCCTCCCTCTTCACGCAGGCACAGAACCCAGCCTCGCGGTCCAGAGCGCTCCCGCCTCGGCAGACGGAGTCTGTATCCCAACCGTACAGGGTCGGCCGCAGACTAGTCCGGCCGGCGGCTCTCTGACCCGGCTCTGCGCGTCACGCCGCGGAGCGGTGGGTGGGGCTTGGGGCGGGGCGGCGGCGGCGGCGCGGCCCGGGGGTCCTCGGGCGACTCCACTGGGGCGGGGCTGCGGGCCCGGCCCCCCACTCACAGACTCGCGAGCGTGGGGGGTGTGGCCGCCGGGTCCGCGTCCTCCCAGGGACAGAGCGGCTCCACCAGTGCCGCCGGACCAGCGCCCCCTGCTTTCTGCTTGAGATGCTTTTCCTTTCTGTGAGTTGTTTGCAGTCGTCGCGGCTGAGCAGTGGGCCTGGTCACGCCCCGGGGAGGAAGGGGGAGCCGAGTCACGTCGGTCTAAGTGGCTTGGAGAGGGCAGGGCAGAGGGCATCGGACCATCTGCGCTCCTGGGTCGCCTCCGCCCTTCGGGGCATGCTGATCCGCGGCTGCGCCCCATGTTCCAGTTTCATGCAGGCTCTTGGGGAAGCTGGTGCTGCTGGTGCTGCCTGATTCCTGCGGACAGCTCTTGGGACCACGGCCGGCGCGGGCAGCTGGAGATGGCGGACACGAAATCCGTGCACGAGACCAGGTTCGAGGCGGCGGTCAAGGTGATCCAGAGTTTGCCGAAAAATGGTATGCACTCCAGTCCCGCGGAGGTCCGGCCCGGTGTCTTAACATCATCACTGTTAGTCGTTCTAATCTCGTATGACTTGTTTATTCTACTTTTTCATGTGTTGAAAAAGAATGTGATTGAAGGGGAGGTATTGAATGTGAATTACTTACTGATCTTCAATGCCAGAGATGGTTATATCATCCAGATTTTAATCAGCTCACATTGTTGAAACTGAAGCCTTCTCATTTAAAGACTGCCGATCTGAGCATGCCAAAAAAGAGAAAAAAATCCAAGCTGGGGGAATGCCTTGTCTCACATACCCAAAGTCTACAATTCAAACCTTTTGTAAATTTTTGCTATCAAAGGAGGGGAAAAGACAGCTATATTTATCAGCAAAATGATTTTTTATTTTATTAAACATTTATTACTTTTTTGCAGTTCCGTTGTTTTACTGTGCTCTCTTATACTCATATTGGACCTTGATTGTAGGTTGGAAGAAAAGCCAAGATGAGTTCTCTTGTGTTTATGTATTATTTCTTTGGGTGTTTTCAAGATTTTTCCTCTTTGGTTTTCAGTTATTTGACTATGATGTGTCTCGGTGTGGTTTTCTTATATATCCTTTTCACAGTTTGTTGAACTTTTCACATTTGTAATTTTGTCTTTCATCAATGTTAGAAAAATTTTTGCCATTACTTAAATTATGTGCATATATTTTCTGAGTGGAAAAGCCTGGGAGAAGAGACTTACTTTTAAATTCATGTCCTTTAACATTGCATGAATTAATCTTTACAATAAACTATATTTAAAAATACTTTTATTATTATTGTGCCAGAATTAAAAACCTAACTGGATATGGCTTTGATATATTACTATAGTTTTTAATATTTTGTTCACGGATTTCATGTTTTAAATTATCATTTGACTAAGTAATAAAAATTCATAGTAGTTCACTCAGTAAAAATTCAGTAAGTGCAGATGCAGAAAGGTTTGAAAGTAGTGATAGGGCTTCTGCTTAGCGTGCAAGAGACCTTCAGTTCAGTCCCCAGCAGCCAGCCTCCCAGCAAGTTTGGAAAATAACATGTAATAGTGTTCTTTCTGTAACTTCAAACATCCCATTTTACATGTAAGAATAAAATATAGCAAAAGTATGACTCTTAAGTTTTGTGTAAGCAATATATTCACTTTTGAAAGCCAATTTTATAGTGTTTTTTAAAATGGAAAAAGCTAGATTTGATGTCTCCTGCCTACCGTCTCTTTTGACATTATATCCTACTTAGTAAGAAAGCCATATACATTTAAGAAGGTATTGCAGGGTCAGGGGAGTTAGCTCAGTAGAATAAGCGCTTGCCTGGCAAGCGCAAGGGCCTGAGTTCAAGCTCCAGTTCTGCAAAAAAAAAAAAGAAGGTATTGCAAAATTTGATAACTTGTCAAGTATCAATTAAAAGTCTTTTATTTATTCGGTACAAGGTCTTTCTAAGCAGTTTGGGCTTGTAGGATTTTTTTTTTTTTGGTGGCCTCATGCCTTCAGGGTAGGTCTAGTTCGGCTTGAGGATCTGGGGATTGAACCATAGTATCCTGAGCCTGACTGCTTTGTTTAAGCAGGCACTTAAACAACTGAGTTAATGGACAGTTCCCCTAGCTTGGGCTTGTAATGATCCTTATGTCTCAGCCTCTGTAGTAGTGGGACTGCATCCCTAAGCCTGGTTTCGGTGACCTGGGCTGCATGGTTAGACTGCTGAGCTATCTCCCTAGCCCCTCAAGTAGCATTTTTGAGTATCAGTCCATCATTCAGTATAGAATTTATGTTCAGCGTGCAGATGACCCCCAGAATAAAAAAGGGCAGTGTGCACTTTTATCTCTCTGAAACTAAATTGATACTCATTGAGCTTCAGGTTTGTTATACTGAATTATTAAATGTTTTATAATAGTTTACATTTTTTCTACTTTTAACTATTTCACAATGAACAAGATTGTTTTGTTTTGGTTTTTATTGCTTAATCTTTAAGCCCTGAAGTAATAATGAATCCTAGACCATCTGCTTGGTATGACTTTGGCCTTTTTTTAAAAAAAAATCTTTATGTATTTGGTATAGGGTCTCGCTGTGCAGCTTGGACTGATAGTGGTCCTCCTGTTTCAGCACAGGGATTATAGGTGTGCCATCACACCTGATCTCGGTAGCTCGCTAGGCCTACCCGGGGCAGGGCTGGCACGGCATGTGGTACCAGGGACCTGGGGATTGAACCTGGGTCTTTGAGTTTGCCTAGGCAGATGCTTACACTGCTGAGCTATCTCTGAGGCCCTAATTATGTATTCTTGGCTAAACTTGAAACACCAGATCTCAAGTTCATCTGTCTTGTAATTTTCACAGCTTTTGTAAATTAGTAGTTTTTGATTACTACATTTTCATTTTATGCT